ACATTTCAAGCATAAATATTCCCCAAATATTGAAACTACATCAAATGACAAACTAACTTCACTTCTACCGTTTATTTATCATTCCTAACAACTTTTACAAAGGAGTTTAACTTCAATCTCACTCTAACACACCCCACTATTCATGCATTTCTCAAAATAAAACCCTAAAGATGCACCTTATTCAAATTAACCAAAATGGATGGAAAACTTACCACAATGGTCTAAGGTGAGGGTACCAAACCACAAGAATGGAAGACTCCACCTCAAGCTCCACCAATGTTAAATTTTTTCCCCTTCCACAAGCAATATCTCACTCCACCAAGGTGGTGGTAGTTGGTGACGGTGATGGTGGTGGTGATGCAGTGGCTGCGGCGGTGGTGGTGGCAATGGCAGTGGCTGCGGCGATAATAGTAGTGGTTAGTGACGGTGGTGGAAGTGGTGGCGTCGTGGTGATGGCAATGGCGTGGTAATGGTGATGGTGGTGGTGGTGGTGACGATGATGGTAATGGTGGCGACGGCGGTGATGGCAGTGGCTGTGGCGATGGTGGTGGTGGTGGTGGTGGTGGTGGTGGTGATGGCAGTGGCTACGGCGATGGTGGTAGCGGTTGGGTACGGTGGTGGTGGTGGTGATGGCAGTGATAGTGGCTGCGGCGATGGTAGTAGTGGTTAATGATGGTGGTGGAAGTGGTGGCATCATGGTGGTGGCAATGGCGTGGTGATGGCGATGGTGGTTGTAGTGGTGGTGATGGTAATGGTGGCGATGGCGACAATGGTGGTGATGGCAGTGGCTGCGACGATGGTAGTGGTGGTTAGTGATAGTGGTGGTGGTAATGGCAGTGGTTGCGGCGATGATAGTGGTGGTTAGTGACGGTGGTGGAAGTGGTTGCGTCGAGGTGGTGGTAACGCTGATGGTAGTGGTAGCGGTGGCTGCGGTGACAGTGATGTAGTGGTGGCGGCGGTGGTGGTGGTGGTTGTTGTGATGGTGGCGGTGGCATCGTCATCATCATCGTCGTCATGGGGAAGATGGTGGTGATGATGATGATGATGATAGTGGTGGAAAGTAATTGAGAGAAATAAATGTTTCTCATTTTGTGCTCGGGAACAAAAAAGCAAAAAAAAAAAAGATTCTTTTTCCTATTCCCCAGCACAAAAATTAATCTGATTCATCCCGAGAACAAAAAAATAAACTGGTTTTACCAAACGCGTTTTCTATCCATTTCTATTCTCGGGAAAAAATAAAAGAAAAAATTGATTCCGGGAAGGATGTCATGCACAACCTTAGTTGCCGGAAATAAAGTTATCTCAAGCAGCTTGAGAAACAAAAAGCTCATATATATATATAGGGGTAGGATATTCTACCTACCATTTTTCCGTCTACCTTTACCTACCACCTTCCAACACCGTTAGATCAGAATCTTAAGAAGAAAGAGAAAGATAAATGTTAGTTAAGATTCTGATCTAATAGTGTTTTAAAATGGTAGACAAAGGTAGGCAGAAAAGATGGTAGGTAGAATAACCAATCCCATATATATATGTGTGTGTGTGTGTGTGTGTGTGAGAGAGAGGATCCTTTGACCCCGGTGCTAAACTTTGAAATTTGACATCAAATCCTAATTGTTGATTTCCGCCAATGAACGATTATCATTTATTGGGAATTCATAATTAATTAATAAGTTTAATTGATGAAAATTAACGGTTAAATTTTGGTGTCATATTTTAAAGTTTGATACCGGTGTCAAAGAATTCTGCCCATATATATATATATATATATATATATATATATATATATATATATATAAGGTTTATATTTCTGCAGCTGTTGTACGTGCAACAATTAAATACTTGCCATATATATACGTGAAAGCATTAAATGCGAGGAATCATAACCATACAAATGATGAAAGCATTAAACGTGGGGAATCATAACCATACATCTGTCGTTGTTGTACATAAAGCGGCTGCAGAAATGATTATATATATATATGGCAAAATGATTTATAATGTGGCTGCATATAAGTATCGGTGCAGTCACCTAAAAACTACGTCGTTTTGGGTGAGATAAAGAAAAAATTCTCTTCCAAAATTAATTGTAGAAAATGGAAATATTATATTCATTTCTATCTTTGTATGATTATGATTCTCTATATTTAATGATTTACATTTATTTTAACTTTTGTATGGTTATAATTCCCAATATTTTATGCTTTCACACTATAAAATGACGTAGTTTTATATGACTGCACTAATCTTTAAATGCAGTCACTGTACATCCGGTAAACTCTATATATATATATATATATGGAAAAAATATTTCTACAGCCACTTTAGATAAGGTTATCTACAGTTACCCCTTTTTAACTAAGTATGACCTATCATACATAGTTATAAAAATAAAGCTGTTCTTTTTTCTCTCTCCTCAGACACTGTCGACTAACGTGGCGGAGAGAGAAAATGAAATTTTTATGTATGACCGGTCATACTTAGTTAAAAAGGGATAGCTGTAGACAACCTTATTTAAAGTGGCTGTAGAAATGTTTTTCGATATATATGTAATGTGTGTGTGTGTGTAAAATTATTTTTGCATCCGCTTTACGTACAACAACGACAGATGTATGGTTATGATTTCTCACATTTAATGCTTTTGTAACGCCCCGTCTGCAGCCGGTTAATTAACATTCTTATGATAGTAAGCGCAGCATGCTCAACTTAATTAATCCGGAAGCTAACTAAATAAATTTTCTCTTTTTTTCCTTATGTATTGCAAACCTTTTCAGCTTTCATCCTTTGTATGGTTATAGTTCTCTGCATTTAATGTTTTCAAGTATATATATGGCAAGTATTTGATTGTTGCACGTACAACAACTGCAGAAATGTAAACCCATATATATAAAGGGGAATGATGTGTTTACAATCTTTTTTTTACAAATTTTTACAAATTACACTATTTCTGACCGGTAAATATTTTATCAAAAATATTTTAAGTTTCAGATAGGATCAAATTATAAATTTTAGCCCGAGTCAAATTACAATTTTAATCTGGTCAAATTATAATTAATTATATAATTATACATAATAAGTACAATTTATTAAAATTTAGTTCGGGCCGAGACCACACCCTGCAACACTTGGCTCCACCACTGGTCACGTTTTGGGTATCTCACATCAAGAGCGGGAAAAAAAAACACCGTAAATATTTAAATAATTTCAAGTGTAGCAGTGTGGCAATTAGCTCTTCTTTAGTTTTTGTTATCATATTGTAATAGATCATGTGTTCAATTTTTATTTATATAAAAGAAATTAATTTTTGTTAGGTAACGTATATCCCAATAAAGTTGTACCTTCTATGTTGTTTGTTATATTCACTCTGTTACGAAATAGTGAGTTGAAAGACAATCGAAAACAAAAATGTGACACATCGTGTCAAACATAAAAAAGAGAAAATCATTGTATATTTAACATTTTACCATTAACTTTTATTTTAATATTAATGCATTCACCTATCTGGTGTGATGGGATGTTGCCAGTTTGGGCTTAGTTTAATTTGCATCTTTTTTCTTGTCTTTTGGGCATAGTGTCATTGTATTTTTATGCTCAATATTTTCAGAGGTTTGTGGCCTTACTTTAAAGGATAAAGTTAACATCAGGTAACATAATTTAAATAATTTTTTCTACTCAAACAAAATTGTACGTGGGTCCTACACATATAATAAAAACAAAAAATAAAAAATACTGGTGCGGAAACCAAGTAAAAAATTTTATATCATGCTACATAATATTAATTTTATCCTACTTTAAAAGTCAAGACATGCTACAAGTTTAAATGAGAATTTACAATAATACATATGGATGAGTACTATTAAAAGACCACAAAGAAGATTTAAACCCAAAATCCTTTTGTCAGTGTTCTTCAATCTTATCAAGTGATCCAACTCAATTCAAATTAATGAACAATAAAATCATTTATTCACAAATAATTTATATACACCTATCCATACAATTAAGACTTGTTATGAGTTAATACTTAAAAAAAAAAATAAGACTTGTTATGAGTAATATATCAAAACTGGATTTCAGAACACAGAAACAGAATAAATAGTTAATTTTAAAATGAAACATGTTACATGGCCTTTGTTTTGTTATTTAATGTATGAATTTCATGTTTGCAAAATTGATTGTTGAAAACATGGTAAGAGAGATGCTAATTTGAGAGAAAAGCGATGAGAGAAGAATCAGAAAATTAATGGAATGAAAAATGTAATTACGATGGAGCCACAATGTGCCTTGTAGAGATGTAACCAATCATCTAACGTAATCACAATCACCTACCTAATCACCAACTGAACAAACTAATTAACGTAATATTCATCTTTGTTTTTTTTTTCAATATTTCCATGCACACATAACCATTAATCTTGTTATATTTCTATAATTCTCTCTAGTTGAAGAAAATCATTAATTTCTACTGAATTTCAGCTATATTTCATGCAAATTCTGTTTTATGGTAATATAAAAATATGACACCAATATCTGGCCCTGAACTCTGAAGTGACAGATTAGATAGAAACTCTATTACTTTGGCAACAAGTACATTGGTAGAGAGTTACATCTGACCAATGATCCACTCAATCTTCAGTTCCTTTCAGATGCCATCTTGCATACACAACAGTGTTTCAAACAAACCATGAATATGATATGCAGCTTTAATAATCAGAACAATAGAATTTTGTTAAGGACTTTGACTTGCACAAGAAGGAGGTCAAACTAAATGGAATGTCTTTGACATTACTCTAAAGTTGTTCTAACAACTATTCACGTTAAAACACAGCAATGTTGATTTCATCTTCTCTTTGAATCAGATTATATTGCATCACCTAATCAAACCACCACATCATTTCACTCCTATATATATAGACTACCATTTTGTCCCATTCCATCAACACAGTTCAAACTCAAAAAGTTTAACAGTTTCAAGTTCATCCTTCACTCATTCAAATACAAATATGGGTGTTTCCCTTTTTTCATCACTTCAAATCCCACTATTCTTTTTGTCATTTATTAATTTTTGTATATTTGAGCTTGCACTTGCTGGCACCACCAGACACTACCACTTTGATGTAATTCCTTAAAAGACTCAGTACCCTTTTGAATTTAACTTTTCTTTGGTGATTTTCTTTTACTACATTGTTTTCTCTCTGTATGTAACAAATTGAGGTTACTGCCACAGATAAGGAACCAAAATGTGACAAGACTGTGCCACACAAAGAGCATGGTGACAGTGAATGGTCAGTTTCCTGGACCTCGTATTGTTGCAAGAGAGGGAGACCGTCTTCTTATCAAAGTGGTTAACAATGTGCAGAACAACATCACTATTCACTGGTAATGGCCATTCAATTTGCAAGAGAAAACAAAAATTGCTAGAAGAATAATTGTAGTGACTTTGTTAAGCTTTGAGCCTAAAAGTAATTTTTGTCAAATAGGCATGGCATTAGACAGCTTCAATCAGGGTGGGCTGATGGACCAGCATATGTGACTCAATGTCCCATCCAAACAGGTCAAAGTTATGTTTACAATTACACCATTATTGGCCAGAGAGGAACACTGTTTTGGCATGCTCACATATCTTGGTTAAGATCAACTATCTATGGTCCTATCATCATTCTTCCTAAGCACAATGCTCAATACCCTTTTGCAAAACCCCATAAGGAAGTTCCTATCATATTTGGTAATGAATTTACTAAAGGATTGAACTTTGGACTACCCATTTCTTAATTTGCATAAACTAATCATGTTGTGTGACAAAAAAAATTTTTATAGGAGAATGGTGGAATACAGATCCTGAGGCAGTTATAACCCAAGCCTTGCAAACAGGTGGAGGACCTAATGTCTCTGATGCCTACACTATTAATGGACTTCCAGGGCCATTGTATAACTGCTCAAACAAAGGTATCAAGTGCTAATTAATCTACATGTTTTAGAAATTGTCACCAGTTCCTAGAAGATTGAAAAATAATAATACTACAATTATGAAGCTTTTTTCACTTATAACAATTGGCACTCATCAAGTGCTGCCTTAAAGAAAGCATTCACAATTTTAGGCACAAATTTCTGCATTAGCATAAAACTATTAGAAATGATAGACTTCTTATGAAATGGTATCAGCAATATGCCTTGATTCTAATTAAGATGTCATTGTTCACAGATACATTCAAGCTGAAGGTGAAGCCAGGGAAGATTTACCTGCTACGTTTGATCAATGCGGCACTAAATGATGAACTATTCTTCAGCATTGCAAATCATACCCTCACAGTTGTTGAAGCAGATGCAGTTTATGTAAAACCTTTTGTGACTAACACCATCCTTATTACCCCTGGCCAAACCACTAATGTTCTTCTAAAGACAAAGTCTCACTACCCCAATGCCACATTCTTAATGACTGCTAGACCATATGTGACTGGCCTTGGCACTTTTGATAACTCAACTGTTGCTGGTATTCTAGAATATAAAACCCCACCAAATACTCACCATTCATCTGCTTCACTGAAAAAGCTTCCTCTCCTCAAACCTATTCTCCCTGCACTTAATGACACTTCTTTTGCAACAAATTTCACCAACAAACTCAGAAGCCTAGCAAGTGCTCAGTTTCCTGCTAATGTTCCCCAGAAAGTTGATAGACACTTTTTCTTCACAGTAGGCCTTGGTACAAGTCCCTGCCAACATAACAAAACTTGCCAGGGACCTAATGGAACAATGTTTTCAGCATCAGTGAACAATGTATCATTTACACTCCCAACCACTGCACTTCTTCAAGCCCACTTCACTGGTCAATCCAATGGAGTTTACTCCCCAAACTTCCCAACCAGTCCTTTGATTCCATTCAACTATACTGGCACCCCACCAAACAATACCATGGTGAACAATGGGACAAAGGTTGTGGTTCTTCCCTTCAACACAAGTGTGGAGCTTGTCATGCAGGACACTAGCATTCTTGGTGCAGAAAGTCACCCTCTCCATTTGCATGGCTTTAACTTCTTTGTTGTTGGCCAAGGTTTTGGTAACTTTGATCCAAATAAGGACCCTGCAAACTTCAACCTTGTTGATCCTATTGAAAGGAACACAGTTGGTGTCCCATCTGGTGGATGGGTTGCTATTAGATTCCAAGCAGATAATCCAGGTTAGTTAGATTAATGCTTCATATTACTTTGAAACTTTAATTAGCACATAGTTTATTAATACTATCAAAATTTAATTTTAGTTACCCAAAAGTTATTGGTATAGCGGGGACTCACCTAGAGCTTGTTTGTATTGGCTTTTTACGAGAGTTATTTTTATCACTTTTTTATTTTAAAAGTACTTTCTATAAAAGTTACAGCTATTTAGATTTTTTAAAAAATATTTGATTTTTGAAAAAAAAAAATTGGCTCTTGACTTCTGTTTTTTTTAAAAGCTAAAATTTTTAGCTTCTGAAAAAGTAAGTTTTTGATTTTTTTATGACTTCTGCTTTTTTTAAAAGCAGGCATCCAAACAGATTTTTTTCGAAAAGTACTTTTTTTCTTAAAAAAAATAAAAGAAAAAAAAAATTCATCCAAAACGAGCTATTAGACCCAAGGATTTGACCTTCTGAAAGGGCATCTAGAAAAAAAAATTACTTTTTAGTTCAAAAATGTTTTGGTTCATTTTGATGAAACAAAATAATAATAATAATAATTAAAAAAAAAAAACTTGCAAATTATGATTAATTGTATGTGCAGGGGTATGGTTCATGCATTGTCACTTGGAAATCCACACAAGTTGGGGTCTTAAGATGGCCTGGGTTGTTTTGGATGGAAAGCTACCAAATCAGAAGCTGCTTCCACCACCAGCTGATCTTCCCAAGTGTTAACTTCAAGATGATGAAATTGCTTCAATTTGTTTCAACATTCTGGCCCCTTTTTATTTCAACATTGGGCAATTGTATTTCACCAGTTTTTTTAATTTTTTAATTTTTTTTTCTATCAAAAGATAATTGAGGCTTGAGTTTGAGGTTGAGGGTGCACCTTTTTTCTTTCTTCGGAAGAGAAATTTATTTATATAACATGCGTGGTCTATAGGCCATGACATTGTAATTCATTAATTTGAATGAGAATTTTTTTATTAAAGGTTTATGGGTAATATTACTCTCATGTAATATCAGAGTAGTTCTCTCATGTTACATAGAGAATTCAAGTAGGGTCCGCTATTTAAAAGCAAAAAAAAAAAGGAAAAAAAGGAGGAGCACGATTTTCGAAGTGAGAGAAAAGGAGATAACTACCTCATGTAAAATGAGAGTAGTATTTTTCAAAGTTTATTAGTATAAATGTGTTATTTTTATTTCTTAATGATATAAATATTAAAAAAATTCAAAAGTTAAAAGTTAAAATCAGAGAACACTATTCATGAAGAGAACATAGCAGGGTCACGTTCCTAGACGAAGTGTCTTAGGGTCAATGGTAAAAATCTTTATGCTCTATGTCACGAAAGAGAATTTAGTCTAGTCCAAATGGATGGGGACATCCTGGGATACCCAAAAAGAAATAAAAAAAAGTAAAATAAAAAAGAGATTAGTCTTATAAGCAAAAAGTGTAAAATACCTTTCGAAATTCAAAAAATAAATAAACAACTTACACCATATATAGTTGATCAGCTATAGGCCTAATAGGAGGATTTATGATAACTATAAGATACAAAGTAAAGATACTATTGCAATTGGGGAAGGCATGGGGATTGAAGGATGAGTATAGTTGTTAAATGCAAAAGTCCATAATTTGGTAGATTTTTTTGGTTACACATAATCTGGTAGATTTTTAACTATGTTTCTTGTTACATGAATAACAATCTACTTTGTGTTTCCTTTTTATTTTCTTCTTATGCAAATTCATGGATCTATCTTTCGAGCGCTTTTTCAGTACACCTGCATTCTTTCTCAAAGTAGTAAATTACCGGGTTTGAATGAGAAATACACAAAAAAAGATATGGATTCATCTTGTATGCAATTTTTCTAATTCAGTATTCCCATGATATTAAAAAAATATCCCTATTTTTCACCCTCCCTTCCACATTTATTAATAAAGTAAATATTTTTCAAATTTATTAGTAATTTATACAAATACCTTTAACCGTCACAAATATATATCTTTCATTTTTCTTGAGAAACAAAAGAAGAAAATCGACAAATATCCTTGTCGTCGAATTATATGTGTATGGAACAAACAAGTAAAACTATAGAACTGCAATAAAATAAAGGAAAAATATGTGTTATTTTAAAAGATGTAAAATTATATCATTTTAAATGAGAAAAAGAAATAGATCTTAAAAAAAAAAAGTGAATAAAAAATAAAGATATAAATTATACCTCTTTATAAGAGTGAAATAACAGAACTTATGTTATTTAAAATAACAAATTTTTTTTCCTAAAATAAATTGATATTTTAGATCTTGCTTGTAGCTTATGGATATACTCGCAATCTCCAGTTGGCATGCATGATCTTATAAACACTAATCATATTAATACATATGTCAATATCGTCCTCGAGAGCTTGGAACTGTTTCACTGTACCACCCCTTTCGTTTCTTATTTTGTTTATTTTCCACTCTACCAACCACGTTTGTTTTTGGTTCTTGAATTGTATTTCTTTTTTCCAGTTACGTACTATATAAATTTGTAATTTTTATAATGGGAGAAGTGTTTATTTTTTTAAATGACATAATTTATATTTTTTCACTCTCACAAAGAGGTGAGACCCACACTTTTATTTTTTTTTTGTCAATTCTTTTTCTTCCTTTATCTATCTCTTTCTCTCTCTTCTTAGAATGACATAATTTTACATTCTTTAAAATAACACACATTTTTCCCTTTTATAATTTATAATTCTTATTTGCTAATCTACAATATTTAAAGTAATATCTAGTACGAGTTTATTTATTTATTTTGGAATACTGAAATAGGTCGTTTTGCATGTGATTCAACCACCACCTACATTAAACATTGACTTAATTGTGCAAACTTATCAGAAACTCCACCAAACATGAAAGGGAACTCCACTTCAAAATAGAGAATTGACACAATACTTATCGTTTAATTTTTAACTCTTTAAATATACAAACAAAATATCATTATAATTTCAATAGTCATGTTCATGAATTGCAACCATTCACATAAAATATAATATATAAATAAAAAATAGAATAAGATGGAAAAGAAAATATTGATTAAACATCACTTGCACACAAATCAACAAAGAACGAAATTGTTTACGAAAAACAAAGAACGAAATTCGTCACTTCTGTTATTGCGAAGCTGGCACTGCTTGCTTCTCAAATAAAAAAATTGGCTACCTCAAGTTTCAGTTTGTTGATCTCACGTCTTCTTTTATTTTTCTGAATTTTCTTTGTTTTTTTTTTTTATTAATACTGTTTTCAAAAAAAAAAATTGAAAATTCAGAGAAATAAAGAAGACGTGAGATCAACAAACTGAAACTTGAGTGTAGCCAATTTTTTTATTTGAGAAGTAAGCGGTGCCAGCTTCGCAATAACACTGTTTATATTTTTGGTGTACGTGCAGCAATTAAATACTTGCTATATATATATATGAAAGCATTAAATATGAAGAATCATAACCATACAAAAGATGAAAGTATTAAATGTGAGGAATCATAATCATATACATGTCGTTGTTGTACATATATATATATATATACAGGAGTTTCATTTTCTCATGCTGCATGAGAATTGAATTCTCATATTGTGACTCAACCAGTAGTGGATCCCACATTTATTAGAGAAAAAAAACTTTGTACGCAAATCGAAAGATCACAACATGAAAATTGAATTCTCAAGCAAAATGAGAAAATATTTTTCTATATATATATATGGGAACAGATCCACTTACCACCAAAAAAGTTTACAACTCTTACAACCAATTTAATCACCGTTGATTTCGGTCAATCTAACGGTTATAAATTAATAATATTTATTGTGTCACATTTATTAATTTCCAATAAATTATAACCGTTAGATTGACGGAAATCACGGTGATTAAATTGGTTGTAAGAGTTGTAAACTTTTTTGGTGGCAAGTGGATCTTCCCCCTATATATATATATAGAGATATATTTTCTTTTGTCAATCAATCAGTGGCGGACCCACTTGCGGGCAAATGCCAACAAGTGCGGTCATAAGATTTTTGATTTTTTTTTTTTTGGTTGCAGGTTTTTATTTATCTCTTGGTTCAGTATATATTAGGAGTAAATTGCTTTTTAAGTCCCTAACAAAAAATACGGTCCCCATTTTAGTCCTTTACAAAAAAAATTAATCTCGAGGTCCCTAAAAAATTTAAAGTAGATCAATTTAGTTAAAATCGTGATCCCTCATAAATTCGAAAAAAACCTACATTAGTCCCTCAAAAAAACCAAAATGGATCCACTTTGAATTTCATAAGACCAAGTGGCTAATTTTTTTTATAATGGACTAAAGTGGGGACCGAATTTTTTGTTAGGAACCAAAAATGATATTTATTCTTATATTAGTTAGCAACGTAGCAATGTATGGAGATGATTAAAATAACGTAGCAACGTAAATTGATTAGAGAGAAAATCTATTCTTCATCCTCTGTCACGTACTCATTCCCATGCTCTCTTCATCCTTGGTTTCCTTTCTCATTTTTATAAAAAGAAATGATTGATTGCAGGTCTGACATTCTCAAATAAGTTAATATCTAGAGACGAGGTCTTTACTGTGATTTTGCTTGCCTTTTGTACAGGTAGTGTTGACTTTTTTATTCACCACTATAAAATAGAATGACGATGTATAGATGTACTGAAGTATATTCTCATATTTGTTTTGGAGGATTGGTAAAATTTAGGGAGAGAAATAATTGGTCAAACTATTGTCTACGGCTTGTTATGGAAGCAATTAGATTATGAACGAGTTCAAGCGTTGATTTAAACTTTATTTACAAAACAAACAAAAAATTGGTCACTAAATTTGCACACATAAAAAAAAATTCTAGGTTAATGGTGGCAATGGTGGCGCTATAATTCAGTGATTCAACTCTATTGTTTATCAAAAGTTAGAATACGACAAAGGGTTTTTTCCGTGATTGGTTGCATAAATTTGTTCAATTGTTTGCTCATTTACTTTTTCGCATGTAGTAAAAGGGTGACATATTCAACTAGTGGAGAAAGGGTTCCCAATTTTCAACACACCTATGATATTCTACTAAGTCAAGATTAATATATTGCACTAACCACTGTACTCACAGACGGGTCATGCATGACCCAACTCTCATGACGGTAGCCATGTGATAGTTCATAGTTTTACTATATAACTGAAAAATGCATTTCTTGTTTATGTTTTTATAAATATGTAATTATTTCCTAAATTTTAATATTCAAATTAATTGTTTTTCTTCAAATTATTAATATATAAAATGAATTACAGTTATAATTACTTTTCAATATTCTAATACAATTAGTGATTTTTTGAAATTGAGAAAAAAAAGGAACTTAACGTGGAAAAACAAAGCAATGATTATTTTAATCATTAACGACAGAATGATCAGGCTAATGAAAACGATTTTTTAAATATTTTATTTATTTTTAGATTGTTTCCGAAATTCATATACACAGTATTTATATGGGAAATAAATAATAAATAAGAGGAGAGTTATATTTACAAACTTTTTATTTACAAACTCTTACAAAGTACAAACTACACTATATACTCTCTGAAGTAGAGGTGTTAACGGGCCGAGCCGAGTCGAGCTTTGATCTTAACGGGCCAAGCCTGTATTTAAACGTGTCCGACCGGCCTTAGTCTGTTACCTGTTACGAATATAATATTGGTCTGTGGCCTGGTTTATTTACAAAAAATAAAAGTCTGTGTGAAGCCTGTCTTAGCCTGTTAGCATGTTAAAGAATAAAAATAAGAGAACAAAATTCCACAAAAAATCAATTTCCACATAGAAACCTTAGCTTCCAATTTGCAGCAATGATTTACAAAGTCTACAATAAATAAATAAAATTAAAGTGAGAGAAGGTAGATAACAGGTTATATTATCTTAGCCCATTATAAAAAAAGTGCCAACAAAAATAAAAATAAAATAAATAAAATAAAAAATAAATTGATACAAACGAATGAGTTTTTGTGGGTTTGTTTGTGTGAAGGAGGATGAAGGATAATATAGAACAGCACTAGTAATTCCATAAATATACATAAATTCAATATATATCCAAATAGCATAATATAGAACAAAATCATTCAAAAAGTCTGTTAAACCAATAAAATGGGGTGAAATAAATTGATAAGAGAGAGTTATTACAAGTAGTATAAAAAGTATAAATAAATATTTATATACTAGGCTAGCCTGGGAGGCTCTAAGGCCGAGCTTCTGAATTAGAGTCGAGCTTCTGAATTAGAGCCTGAGGCCTTTTTATTAAACGAGCTTTTATACAAGTCCAAGCTTGGTTCCAACACGAGCTTTTATTAAACGAGCTCAGGCCTTTACGAGCCTAGCCAAAAGTCTCTGAAAGACCCTTGACTCGTTTACCACCCCTACTCGAAAGTACACTAGGTTACATTATGTATTTCCAGAGTACATAATGTAATTTGTAGAAATTTATAAAAAAATGTTTGTAAACGGATCCTTTCCTTATGATAAATAATAGTGGTTATAAATTTAGATATAAATATTTGACATTAGAGAGACGAGTGACTTGAGAGAAATTTAAATAAATTTAGCACGAACTAATTTTAGATAGACATACTGATACGTATAAGTCTACTTATAATCATTTAAATTAAACTATTTGGTTGGATGACTAAAATTATCAAGCTTAATGTTCTATATTTAAGAGTTTTATGTGGGTTTTAAGGTTAATCATTATCCATTTCAAAATAACGACGTAATTTTTTATTGTACTTTTTTTTTTCTTAAGACAAATGACATTATTTTTATTTATAATTTGTTAGGCTTTTTTTAAGTCTCAAATTATTAAATTTTTTCTACTCTAAAATTTCTTCCTCGTTTTTAAATTTTAGTTTCTTATACAGTCAAAATAATTATTTTAAAAAAAAAATAAAATTAAGTTAGTTTTTTCCTTTCCAAATATCAACTTTTGATGCTCTCAAGTTAATTATTATCTAATTTTTCTTTTTAAATTACATTTGTTCTTTCTTTTCAAATTTCAACTACTTCATTCTTATATCAAATTAGAATACACTAGATTAAGCACAATCCTAATTGTTTTCAGTTATATACACATGTCTTTTTATAAGGTTTTTTAATTTTTTCTTGAAGAAGGTTATATTTAAAATTTATTTTCGTTTACAACCTTTTACAACTATATCTTAATCTTATTTATGTCAATCAACGATTATCATTTATTGTGAATTAATAATTAATTAATGAATTTGATTTACGAAAATTATAACAGTTGATTGACAGAAATCAACGGTTAAGATATAACTGTAAAAGATTATAAACAAAAATTGATTGTAAGTATAACTTTCTCTTTTTTGCAACACAAAACAATTTTATTTTTTGATTTTTTCTCTTTTAATAATCTTAATAAATTTAATTTAATTTTTTAAATTTTTTCTTGTGGTTATATTTTTAAATTTTACTTAAATATAAAAACCCGCAATGGAGGGGATGTTTCCTTAATCAGAGTCAAAGGCATCCCATTGTACAATATAGTCTAATGCGCATGTGCGCTGGAGCAAACATCAAAGATGTTAGGTATAATGCTGGCACGTCGATTCTCCAATTTGAGAATACATCGTTACATTGGACAAGCTAACGATACCTTTTGGAGCTATTAACAGCTTCTAACCAATTGCTATGAAAAGTTGGAACACACTAAAATATCCAAAAACTAGTTTCCCATTCTACCATCCTTCCTTGCAACTGGATGCCAATAAAACTCCCATGAAGACCAAAAAAAAAAAAAAAAATTATAACAATGATACTAAATATCGCAGTAAAAGTCGTTGATAACCATCACCTGAAACACGATTCATAAGTATGTTATTAAAATTGGTATTTGAGAGGGGTGGGACCAGAAAAGAAAAACACAATAACAAGTTATCTAGATTTTTCTTACATTTATATGATGGGAGAAAGAAAGACATATTGGGCCCGTTTGGATGAGTTTTTTTCTCTCCGGAAGTTGTTTTTTTTTTTTTGAAAAAAAACACTTTTCATTTTTAGTTCGTTTGGATGTCTGCTTTTTAAAAAAGCAGAAGTCACAAAAAAGTCAAAAATTTACTTTTTTCTGAAGCTAAAAATTTTAACTTCTAAAAAAAGCAGGAGTCAAAAGCCAAATAATTTTTTCAAAATCTAAATATTTTTATAAAAATATAAATAGCTTTAACTTTTGTAAAAAGAACTTCTAAAATAAGAAAGAGATAAAAATTACTTTTTCTAAAAGTGCAAACAAACGGGCTCATAATACTTTTAGGGAAAAAAGTATCTAATATTATTTTAGATAACTTTATCTAATGTTCATCGAAACAACGTCGTTTTAGGGTTGAAAAATTAAAAAAATAGAATGATAAAGACTATTATAACCTTGAAATAAATTAAAATTACAAAAACACCATAATTTTCGTCCCAGAACGACATCATTTCAATGAACATTAGATAAAGTTGTCTAAAGTAACTTTAGAAAAAACAAACCTATACTTTCATATGAAAGTAGTTAACTCAGGTACAGGGGCATATGGATACTTCCAATAATAATAATAATAATAATAATAATAATAATAATGTAATTTTAAATATATCATTAAAGTAATATAATAAATTCCAAGTGTACCAGACTTATTGGATCGTGCCACGTGTCAAACACCTTCAAGTTTATGAATTGTATTTTAAAAAATTTATTTATGAAAATTTATCACGGTTTAAACGTGATTAATAATTGTTCAAAATATATTATATTATTACATTACTTTAATAATATATTTGAAATTTTATTATCGCTCCTAGAAAAATATATAAACTATTGATGAGCCTTTATTTAATAACTTAATTTTTTAGGTTGAATTGATTTTTTACATAATATCAGAGTCTCGTGTTTCGAGTTCGATTCTCATTGTCCTCACTTTCTCTTATGGAATTTCTTAGTACAGGTACATTATCCATCATTCATGTCCAATAGATTCTCATATGAGATGGCGTATTAGAAAAGTATATAAACGATTAATGAACCTTCACTTAACAGCTAAAATTTTTAGGTTGAATTTTTTATTAAAAAAGGAATTAAAATAATCTATATACCCACGTAAAAGTTATGATAAAAAAAAAAAAGGAAAATTGATGCTCCTATATTTATTTTTAAAATAATTATGAAAAATCTCAATAATCATTTATTGATAAATTGACGAACAACTATTAAAGCTACCTTGTAAGCTATCTCAGATTTTTCATATGAATATTGATAATATTACAATATGGGTTTTATTAATCTCCTTTTATATAATACAGTTATCTTATGTGGTAGTGGTAGAGAGAAAATGAGTGAGTCCCACTATTGTAAGAAAAAAAAAAAAAGTAGGGTGCGAAAATCGAAGTGAAAGAAAATGAGATAAGTTACCTTATGTAAAAGGAGAGGAGAGTAATATTTCCCTTAGAATATATATCTCCATTCCCCACAATGAAATACCAAATTAATTGTCCTGCCAGAGTAGAAGTACTATAGCTGCCAGAAATGCACGCAAAGAAAAAAAACAGTAGTTATGCATATATTGTTATAGTGTCGGTCGGTTAAGGATCATGGTTGGTTGGACCAACACAACAAGGGGATGTTCAAACTGTTTTTCCTATTATTAGCAAAAGCTATCAAACACAAACAACGTTTATATACTCATATATCTCTCTACAAATACCAGGTTGACTATTTCAGCTTTTTCTACAATACCCTTTTCCCTTAACAATTCCAAAAGTAGCATCATCACCCGTTGAACTCTTTTCTCCTGTGTTTTCACACACCCAGATTTCCTCAGCTTCATTTGGTGATCATCTTTTCTCATTGATGTCATGATGTCACCTAAAAAAGAAGGAATGGATGATTCATCAACGTGGATTCTTGAGAGCGTTGAGATTGATCCTATTGTGGATGTGCCAAAAGATGATGGACCCCATGAAAGCATTGTGCTAAAAGCTCCTAATGATGCTGCTTTGAACAATAATGTTGGCAATATCAGGAACAGGAATGGTTCTCAGGAGAATAATGGTTCCAAGATGATGAGGTTGCAATCAGGAGCAGCCAGAGGGCTTAAGGGTTTACGGTTTCTTGATAGAACGGTTACAGGGAAAGAAGCTGATGCATGGAAGTCCATTGAGAAGCGTTTTGCTCAACATGCAGTTGATGGGAAGCTTTCAAAAGATAAATTTGGAACATGCATTGGTACGTATTCTCTTTATGTTTTATTGGGGTTTCTTCAAATTTTGGTTTTGATGTTTATTAATCTATTCAGTTGTTCTAATTAGTTACAAGTTTGTATGATGCTTCCAAAATTGTGTTGCACAGGCATGGGGGCAGAATCAAATGATTTCGCTGGGGAACTGTATCAGGCCTTGGCAAGGAGAAGGAAAATCTATGCAGAAAATGGGGTAACACTTGATGAAGTTAAAATATTCTGGGAGGATATGACTGACAAAGATCTTGAATCCAGACTTCAAGTGTTCTTTGACATGTAAAGACCACACACACACACACACACACACACACACACTTTCTTTCTCTCACTCTACCTATCTATCTATCTACCGTTTGCATGTTACATTCTAATTCCATCCACTGTCATAAATGAACTTGGTTATTTTCAGGTGTGACAAGAATGGGGATGGTAGACTATCAGAAGAGGAGGTTAAGGAGGTGAGTAATGAGACCATGTAAATTCTTGTTGTTTTACCTTCTCCTCTCTCTCTCTTTTTTCCATTATATAAAACAGAATTTTGTAAATTTGTGTAAAAGGTTATAGTGATGAGTGCCTCTGCAAATAAGCTAGGAAATTTCAAACAACATGCTGCTGAATATGCAGCCTTGATTATGGAAGAACTTGACCCTGATCATAATGGATATATAGAGGTTAGAAGTACACAAATTTTTACTACTTGTTCAATTGGGTTTTAGATAAACCTCCAACTTTTTTGTGTATTCTCCTTATTTTTGTTTTCTTTTTGAACAGATGTGGCAGCTAGAAACTCTGCTAAGAGAAATGGTTAGTTCTGAAGAAGGCACCAAAAAAGATAATACTAAAACCATGACTTTGACTAGAACTATGATACCGAGCAAGTATAGAACTCCTATTAGCAAATTTCTCTCTACAACCACAGAATTTGTAGTTGATAAATGGAAAAGAATATGGGTTATCACACTTTGGTTGGCCATAAACTTGGCACTTTTCATATGGAAGTTTCGCCAATACAGGGAAAGAGGAGCATTTGAAGTCATGGGTTACTGTCTCTGCCTTGCAAAGGGTGCTGCTGAAACTCTCAAGTTCAACATGGCTCTCATTGTCCTTACCATGTGCAGAAGAACTCTTACAAAGCTAAGAGGATCAGTTCTTAGTCGAATCATCCCTTTTGATGACAATATAAACTTTCACAAGATGATTGCAGTAGCTGTAGTTTTAGGGACTCTTATTCATGTTGGAATGCATGTCACTTGTGATTTTCCTAGAATAGAATCGTGTCCAAAAGAAAAGTTCATGATGATACTTGGGCCAGGTTTTAACTATGTGCAACCTGATTATCTGAGCATTGTGGAAAGTATTCCTGGTATAACTGGAATTCTTATGGTCTTGATTATGGCCTTTACCTTCACTCTTGCCACACATTATTTCAGAAGAAGTGTTGTCAAGTTACCTTCCCCTTTGCATCGTTTGGCTGGTTTCAATGCCTTTTGGTATGCACATCATTTGCTAATTTTGGTTTACATACTCCTTGTCATACATGGCCACTTTCTATTTCTCACCAAGGACTGGCGCAAGAAGACGGTATGCATTGCTCCAACATTTTTAATTATTCCAACTACCAATAAACTACACTTTTTACCAAATCGATCTGTAATATCCAGATTCTGATTTCAATTTTCCTAAAGTTTTCTCTAAATGCAGTTGCAATAGCTTATGCATTTGTAAACTGATATGTATTGTAGTTACTTTAGTGCTCATTAAATGTATTGTTGAACTCTCCCTACCCTTCATATTAGATGGCATATGTCATGAACCAACTCTCCCTGAAGCTTAAGTTGTCATATGAAAGCACATGAATGATTTTTTATATTTATATTTCTAACACATTCCCTCGTACAAAAATCCTTTGGGTTTGAAAGGTGGACAATGTACACGCCCATTTATATTGTACTAAGAAATTCCACAATATTTATTAGAATGATAGGGACGGTAAGGATAAAACTCTAGACCATAGACCATTTGTTTTTGTAATCTGATACCATGTCATGAACCAACTCTCGTAAAAGTTTAAGTTATTAAGTGAAGACACATGCCGTGATGCTCCATATTAGTTCCATAGCATTGCATTTTGATGGGCTACAATCTGAAAATGTTTATAAATCAGCTGACATCATCTTTTATTAATGCAGACTTGGATGTACCTTGTAGTTCCACTAGTACTCTATGCTTCTGAGAGAACTCATCGATTTTTTAAGAGTAAAGATCACCGTGTAAGCGTCATTAAGGTGTGTGTCAACAACTTCTTCTCCTTGGTTCTTCACGCCGAAGCATGAAAATGATTTTAGTACTTGGAAATTTCAGGCAGTAATATACACAGGAAATGTTCTAGCACTATACATGACCAAACCCTCAGGATTCAAGTATCTAAGTGGAATGTATCTTTTTGTCAAGTGTCCAGATATATCTAGTTTTGAATGGTAATAACCATGATACTTGGCTCATAGTGATCAGAAAAGTTATTTTGCTGTAAAATCACTTTTAACTAGGATACTCAAATTTACTCTTGTTATAGGCATCCTTTCTCCATAACCTCTGCACCTGGAGATGACTACTTGAGTGTCCATATACGAACCTTAGGAGATTGGACTACAGAACTTAAAAACATATTTGCAAAGGTGATGTTTATCTGTGAACTGTGAACTCAAAGCTATATATTCAATTAGTCAAAGGGTAATAGAAATATGATAATTGTTGAACATCTAGTTGTACTAAGACCTAGAAATGCAGGCTTGTGAGCCTCAAAGTGCACAACCAAGAAGCGGGACCCTTTTGAGGATGGAAACTAGAGCAAATTCAAGCTATGACCAGACACAAACAAGGTGAATAGAACTCTTGGTTCTTAACTTTACAAAATGATATATAAATATTGATCCTATTTGTTCTTTCTTGTTGTAGATATCCAAAGATTTACATCAAAGGACCCTATGGAGCCCCGGCACAAACCTATAAGAATTATGATGTCCTCTTGCTCATAGGTCTAGGAATTGGGGCAACCCCAATGATTAGTATTCTCAAAGATCTATTGAACCACATGAAGGCAGAAAGCCCTCAAAAAGTAAGTCACAAGATTAACAAAATTTTATATACTTTCTGGTTGGCAGTACATTTATAATTTTTATACACAAGCAACCATTGATGGGGTTAACATAGCAGGGAACACCTGAAAGCAACTACTCAGATGAATATAAGAAAGGTCCTGAAAGAGCATATTTTTATTGGGTAACAAGAGAGCAGGCTTCATTTGAATGGTTCAAAGGTGTCATGGATGATATTGCAGAATATGACCATGATGTGAGATTGTGGACCAAACTCATCATTTTTTTTTCCTTGGTTTGTTTCCACCATGTACATAATATTTAACTATATAGTAAAAATTTGGCATGTTTAAATAATGCAGGGTGTGATAGAAATGCACAACTATTTGACTAGTGTCTATGAAGAAGGTGATGCACGGTCTGCACTTATTGCCATGATTCAGAAGCTACAACATGCTAAAAATGGAGTTGATGTTGTTTCAGAAAGCCGGGTATTGATTTTTGTACTCATTTAAAGTAAACCTCTTTAATCATTCAACCAAAGTCTATGCTTTTATGATGTTCATGTTACCATATGCCAGATAAGAACTCATTTTGCAAGACCCAACTGGAAAAAAGTCTTCTCTCAATTAGCAAGCACACATCAAAATTCAAGGATAGGTATGCAAAAATGTGATGCTTTGTGAAATTCTAAATTATATTTGAGAAAATAAAATAAAAAATTCAATGAAAGAAATTAAAAAATTTGTCTGCTATTTTCTTGATGCAGGTGTATTCTACTGTGGAAGTCCTACTCTTGCAAAACCATTGAAGAACCTTTGTAAAGATTTCAGCCTAAACTCAAGTACAAGATTTCACTTTCATAAGGAGAACTTCTAAAGGAGCAATTCACACAGCATCAATCCAGAATTATCTGTTTTCACTTTTTGTTTAGAACCACAAGTTTCTTGTATGTAGTTAGATGTATGAGTAAGTGTTGGTTTTGCCTAGATCTTTTAGTGTTAATATTTTTCTTCATCCTTTCTTTCTCTCCCAGAAAATCTTTATATGCTCAAAACTTACAATTCATCAATCTACCAGCAAACTTATGATAAATAAAATATGAATGGAAATCAGATTAAACAAAGAGAAAGAGAAGTAAATTTATGGCTCAATCAAAATGGACCTAAACTCATGAGCCACAAAAATTTAAAGATTTTTCATTTTCATCCTTTCTTATGGTCTAAAAATTGGAAATATAGTTTTTTATGTTGCACAAGACAATTTTTGTCTCATGCAGATACAAATAAGTGAGTGGAGGATGAGACAATTTTGTCTCATGCAACATGAGAAATTATATTCCCGTAAAAATTAAAGAAAGAAGCGATATTAATGAATACGATTTTCACAATATAGATAACAAGAGTACTAATTTTTAATAATCAGTTATTTGCAGCTTTATTTCCATATCCATTTCTACAATTTAATATCACTGATGATGAAAGGAATGTTCTTTGTTAATCTTCAACAACTTTTGACATATACATGATAAGAGAATGCATTGGCCCCACCGTGTTTCATACATTGTAACGTGCAATGCAATCTCAATAACACTGCATGCATTCTCTTAAAGCCTCATGATATATGCAATGAGAGAATGTAGGGAAGATGACCTTAGGATTCTTAATTATATATTTAACATCTTAACTCACAATGCTTCTGATAGGTGCAGTAAAGAGGTACCATCTATAGGAGATTATTGGCAGAATCATATTATTTTTTCTTTATTGAGTATGACTCGTACTTTACATTTAATTTATGACTCATATCCTGTTCCGGATGGCCCAACGACATAGTAGCCCAAGGGTCTTAGCCCAAAACCCTCATCCATGTTAGCCCTACCAACCTCACAACCCCCAATGCGATGATGCTCCCTAGGTGAGACATCAGAATGTCTCACCTAGGGATTATAACTCCCAAGGAGATCACCCCAGATACCATAAGAGGTAACAGCCCTTTGTCACATGCTGACATCGCCAGGAACAGGGAGTGCATCACTGCAACCATAGCAGCGCCTGCTGCCCTTAGCAGTGCCTGCCACCCTTAGCAGCGCCTGCCACCCTTAGCAGCGTCTGCACCCTTAACAAAACCCAAGAAGAGTTGAACCTTTCCTCACGAACCCACACAAGATCAACATCACCTTCATCTATAAATACCCCTCTTGATACAGAGGAAATCTTATCTTATGTATCGTTATTCTGCCCATTTACATTGAGTCACATATACACACACCTGAATCCATTGTTAACTGCTTGCACCATACTTGGAACAATGCCTCCTAGCTTGATCTCTACCTGTGCTAGAGGTATCATCCATACAGTGACTCCATCCCCAACGGGAACATAGTGGGCTTATAGATCCCAACGGTACATTGGCGCCGTCTGTGGGAAACTATAAACTTCTATTCCCATTCTCCTACCGAAGATCTACAGGAGGCACTTCGTATTCCTTCAGTCAAACATGGCCGTCACAACAAGAAGAGCAGAGCAAACCAGAGCCATCACCCCAGAAGGTCACGCGCAAACGGTCCATTCCAGCTCCCCACCGTCCATTCATTCAGCCCCAGCTGAGCAAGCAGCCGGTGAAGCTCTCACCCCGGTTCTACAATCTGTTGGCGCACGGTTGCCAGCAGCTGATGCCAGAGTAACCCAGTTGGATCATCGTGTAGCGAAATCCAAGGAGAGAATGCAGTCCCAACCCAGCCCCTATCGCCAGGAGTTCGTTTCGGAATGCCACTCGCCGCTCCCGGCCCACAAACTGTTCCACTCATCTTGTATCAACAGCCAGCAAGAAGTCAACCAGTAGCTATGTACAATGATCATTGAGTTCCTTTGGGCGCCGCATATCCCCCTGGACCTTACACCCACAACGTTGCTGCCCCTTACCCAGCGCCACCTTTCCGTACTGGTTTTCCATTCCATGGTTATGCAGTACCACCTCATAATGCAGTCGCCCCACAACCCTAAGGATCGTATGTGATCCCGGCCCCACCCCAACATGGCATCCATCAAGCTTCAGCCCTCTCTTTCTTCGTTGAAGCCCCCCACGTACCTCGCCCACCGTCGGACCAACATGAGCATATCCCGAACTTGCGAGTGACACCTGCTCATACCTCGGGACGCAACAAACCCTTAACTGATAGCCTACGCCTAACCCCCATACCTCTTGGTTTCAAAGGCCCTTCCAATATCACTACGTATGTCGGTAACACCGATCCTTTTGAATGAATCCAGAAGTTCGAAGCGGCAATGATCCTTCATGGCGAGACTGATCTCCTCATGTGCAGAACTTTCTCTACGCTTCTGGGCGGAAGGGCATTGACGTGGTACACTACTTTGCCAACAAGGAGTATTGCATCCTGGGATGATTTGGCGGGCAAGTTTTAAACCCAGTTCACAACAAGTCGCCCAGTGCCTAAATCTGTCCACTCCCTTGAAAAAGTTCGGCATCAATCGGGAGAATCCCTCAGATCCTTTTTGGACCGCTTTGATAAAGAGGCTCTGCAAGTACAAGGCTAGACCCTAAGGTGCAGGTGCATATACTCTTGTCCGGTTTACGACAAGGAGTGTTCGCCTATGAGCTCGCTCGCCACGAAATCACCGACCTTGAAGAGGTCAAGAAAAAAGCTCAAGAGTTTATGCGGATAGAAGAGTATAAGGGGAGCCGAGCTGATGACTACCGCAGTCGAGAGAAGAAAGCTAATAAAAGTAAGGACCATGTTGAAGAAGACAGGAAGAGTCGCAAGCCCCCCAAATATTCCAGCCGCCCCTTGGGGCGTGATACATTAGGTTGCAAATCACACAGCGTCCTGCAAACTGAATACAAAGAAGAGCGCAATAGTAACCCACAGCATCAGCAGTCAACTAGGAAAATCATTGTATACTGCAAGTTCCACCGCAGCAACGGCCATAGCACTGAAGAATGCAGATCCCTCAAAGATGAAATTGATGAGCTTATCAAAGGAGGGGCTCAAAGACGGGCGAGCGACTCTGCTCGTGAAGCCGGTTCTGGCAGGCGTCGCCGCGAGCGTAGCAGGTCACCGGAAAGAAGAAGAGCCAACCAATCTGATTACCGGCCCCGCCGTGAACATAACAGAAGAGAAGACTCTCCAAGAGACCGCAGGGTGCAAACCAGTCCAAACAATAGAGGAAGACGGGAGGAGGATGACGAAGACTCGGCTGTCATCAAACACGGTGTAACAAACATGATCTCAGGTGGATTGAGTGGAGGTGGAGAAACAGCTAACGCCAGGAAGAAACATTTGAAACAGTGTTTGGCGGTATTTGGCAAAGTCATTAACAAAGAAAAAGTTGATTTGGACCCAGCCAAGCCTAAAATCGTGTGGGACAACAGCGAGTTGGGCGACGTCCTTCCCGGACATGATGACCCCTTAGTCATTCAAGCAATAATAGCCAACTTTGGCGTTAATCGAGTGTTTGTTGATCATGGCAGCTCAGCTGACATCTTATTTTTACCTTGTTTCAAGGCATTAGGGTTTACGGTCAATGACTTAACCCCAGTTGTAGGTGAAATGTCCAGCATCAACGCGACAGTCACCAAGCCGCTCGGAATGATAAACATGCGCTTATCAATGGGAACGCCTCCCACTTCAAGGTCAGCCGACATCCAATTCTTAGTGCTCGACACCCCGTCAGCATACAATGTTATTCTTGGCAGAAGGATGTTCGCTGCCTTCGAGGCAAGCGTATCTCATCTGCACTTGGCAATGAAGTTTGTAGCCAGAGACAACAAAGTCGCAACAGTGAAAGGAGACCAAACGGTAGCCAGGAGCTGTTACAATATATCTCTGAAACCAGCGACCAAGGTTACCTTCAGAGACCAACTAGCACCCCAACAAGTAACAACCCAATCAATCGAAGGAAGCCCTAGCAGGATTGGCAAGGAGCATGACCAATGTTTCCTAGTAGAATTTGACGCAAGAGACGACCCTCGGGTGGAACATTCCAGACCCACTCCAGATGGGGCGTTAGAACACGTCGTATTGGGCGACGCTGATCACCAAACAACAACCATGGGGCGACCATCGACCCAGAAATGAAAAGCAAATTGATTAAGCTGCTGCGAGACAATAGAGATCTGTTCGCTTGGAAACCATCAGACATGCCAGGCATCGATCCTGAAGTGTGTTGCCACCGGTTGTCTATGGACCCCAAAGCAAAACCTGACTCTCAGAAAAAAAAAAAAAAAAAAGTTTGGCCCTGACCGCCAGAAGGTTATTGACGAAGAAGAAAGGAGACTCCAGGACACCGGCTTCATTAGGGAAATCAAATACACGACTTGGTTGTCAAACCCAGTGTTGGTTAAAAAGCCAAATGGGGCATGGATGATGTGTGTTGACTACACTGACCTGAACAAGGTATACCCCAAGGATGCCTATCCTTTCCCTAGTATCGACTAGTTGGTCGATAACGCATCTGGTTTCAAAATGCTCTCATTCATGGATGCATATTCTGGCTACAATCAAATTCCGCTACTTGAGGAGGACCAGGATAAAACAGCTTTTATCACCCAGAAAGCCAATTATTGTTATACCATGATGCCCTTTGGGTTGAAGAATGTCGGTGCCACATACCAGTGGATGATGAATAAATGTTCAAAGATTTGATTGGCGACAACATCGAAGTTTACATTGATGACATGATCGCCAAGTCGCGAACGCCTGATCAACACCTGTTACACCTTCAAGGCGTGTTCGATAGGTTGAGAGAGTACAACATGCGGCCTAACCCTAGCAAATGCGCTTTTGGCGTGCCAGCTGGTAAATTTCTAGGTTTCATGCTTACCCAAAGAGGCATTGAAGTCAACCCCGACAAATGCAA